CTGGTGCTCCTCCGAACACGTTCAGGCCTTCAGCCCGGGCTGTGCTCCTGGGGTCTCAGGCTGCGATGCTAAGGTAATTCCAGAGCCAGCCCTGTTTGCGCTACCCTCCATGTCGCTCTCAGATGTCTTTGAATTCCAGCAATAAGGTATTAGAATGAAGTCTAACTTCTCCAAAAATTCATGCAGATTCTGTTTATTTCTTTAGTATAGTCAAGTTGGTGTTTGTGGAAAGACTTACCGTGTGAATGTAAAGCTGGTTTGGTGTACACTAATAGAGCTTGAGCACAGGTGATCCAGAAAGACAGAGGGCAGCAAGGCTGCTGTCTGTTGCTTTCTTTGAGGACAGATAGGTTTGATTTTGGAAAAAGTCACAACACTTCAAGAAAAGAAACTGCTGTAGAAGGAGGAGTTAGAAGCTATTGAGGAGGTTGACCCGTGGGCCCTGTTAGAGGGTGTGGCCACCAGCCATGTGCTGGAAGGAACCTGTGGACCCGTGTGAGCAGAGCAGGCCTTGTGAAGTGCTCCAGCTCTCTGGCTTGCGTGGTCTGAAGAGAAAGTACTTAAATATTGTAGCATAAAAGATTCCCCCATAGCCTCATAGCCTGTTAATTCTAAGAAGAAAATGTTGCTGTCAGCAAAACAAGACAGTTCGCATAGACAGGTGCAGGGTTCTACAAGGAGACAGAGACCTGCTGAAGCTGATCAGCGGTTTGAGTTTCTGGTGACAAAGAGAGACATCACCGCATTCCTTCCTTGTCCCCCCACCCGATGAAGACGTCACCGCATTCCTTCCTTGTCTCCCCACCAGATGAAGTCTCTGGGTGTCAGTTCAGTTCCCAATAATGCTAGGCCTTTAGGTTTGGAAAAGCAGTCACGGAAATGACAGTCATTTTCTATCAACCTGCTACGGAAAGAGACTAGTCTCAGTCACTGTCTGTGATGTGCAGAAACCGCATCACTTGAATTGCACAGATACTTCCAGAAGGAGAACAAAGGAGACCCAGACCCAGTTTTCACTTCCTGAGATTCAGGTCACTCTCCGTGTGGCCACTGTGGAGCCCTCTTGGTTTTAGGACACTCAGGCCCAGGTGGAAATAGGAAGGCTCTGTGGACAGTGGATCATTTCGTGTTTCAAAAGGAAAATGTTTTTCTTCCATAATAGTAAACACAGTGCATGTTAGCTATAAGAAAAATAGCTATAAACAAATGCTTGCTTGCTCTACCAGATGGGAGGGCCTAGAAACAGTACTACCCGGGAGCCGTTCACACATCCATGCCCCCCAGATCTTGGTCTTCTTCTTTAGTTTGTTTAATTTTTGAGACGTCTCACTCTGTCATCCAGGCTGGAGTGCGGTGGCGTGATCTTGGCTCACTGCAGCCTCTGCCTTTCAGGCTCAAGTGGTCCTCCCACCTCAGCCTTGGGAGTAGCTGGGACTATACATGCATGCCACCATGCCTGAGTGATTTTCGTATTTTTTGGTAGAGATGGGTTTTTGCCATTGCCCAGCCTGGTCCTGAACTCCTGAACTCAAGCAACCTGCCCACCTTGGCCTCTCAAAGTGCTGGGATTACAGCAAATCTTGGTTTCTAAGACCTTTCTGCAACAAAGGGAACCGGGACTCCCTTGAGAAATGGTTAATCGTAGGGCTGAGCAGGGGGTATGTAGGAGGAATTGAGCATCTTGTGGTGCCAGAGCCTGAGGCAGTGCTGAAAGAAACCCACAAAGATGGTGCAAGTCACAGGGACCCAGGAGTAGCTGTAAAGGCTCCTAGTGGCAGCCGTGTGTTATTGAACAACCCGAGCAACAAAGATGGTGACAGAGCACAGCCGAACTAACAACCCGAGCAACACAGATGGGTGGTGACAGCACAGCCGAACTCTACGTCAGTATCCACGAGACAGAGTGTACCCAAAGTCTACATAAATATCCTAAGGACCACAGCGTGTACCCAAAGTCTACGTCAATATCCACGATATATACAGCGTACCTGAAGTCTGTCAGTATCTATGAGACATAGAGCCTACCCGAAGTCTACATAAATACCCACAAGACCTTAGAATGTGCCCAAAGTCTACGTCAATATCCATGAGACACAGAGTGTGCCCGAAGTCTGTGTCAGTATCCACGAGACGTGGAGCTGACTTGAAGTCTGTGTCAGTACCCCTGCGACCACAGTAGCATGGCCAAAGTCTGTGTCAGTATCTGTGAGAACACAGAGCATAGCTGAAGAGAAACTGTCAGACACGACCTCAGCCAGGCGGTCGGGGTCAGCGTCCACTGTGATGAATCCTGTTGATGGTGTGGACCCTTGATGGGACGTGATGAGATGGGCACTTCACCCCTGGGGTCGTCCTGATGATCCATAACCCCAGTCTACTGAGAAGGACAGCAGACAGTCCCAGTGGAGGGGCAGTCTGTAAGACACCTGGGCCATCCACACAGCCATCACGGTCCTCAGAAACAAGGAGAGTCAGAGACGCCGCCCCCAGCAACCTGAGGAGGCAAGAGGACGAAACGGCTGGCGGGACCCTCGATGGGATCCCTGGGCAGGGGGAGCACTGGGGGCTCTGAATGAAGCGTGGGCTGCAGTCCCGGTAATGGGTCGGTGCCAGTTCCTGAGCCGTCACGAGGGCATCAAGGAGAGGAAGGTATTCTTGCCGGGGGGACACTGGTGTGGGCGCGTGGGAGCGCTCGGTACTGTCTCAGTTTTCTGCAAATACGAAACTTCTAAAATAGTGTATTAAAAAATAGAGAATTAAAGTGCAGACAAATACAAAGATGAGATGGAAATGGATGGGGGCCCTCCACCCAGGGTGAGCGTTTTGCTGGCTATCTCCCTCACCACCATAGGTCCCAGGTAAGGGGTGTGGCACCAGGACATACGGCATGGGTGCTGGGGAACAGTGCGCCTGGTCCGGCTGAGGCTCACTTGAGGCAGAGGACCAAGGGTTAAGGGACATGGAGCTCGTTGTTTTCGAAGCTTGGAGAAGTCTTTCAGTGGGCAGTGGCTGCCCTCTGCACACATTAGTAACTTGATTTCTGCTCTGAAGCCTGAATCATGTTATTTGAACGGCGGCGGGAATTGAGAATCCACCGGGATCAGGAATGAAGAGTGACTCTGTAATGGTGTCAGAGACCCTGTGGCGATTTCCACACAGACCAGGGCTGCTGTGGAAGCTGTGTGTGCCCTGACAGGAGCTCTAGTGTACTGTGTGATCGTGGCCATTAGAAAGGTGGCCTCTTCAGATGGACCCGTTCAGGGGATAAAGCACGTCGGGTGGTGCCGGCCCTGAGCACACTGCAGGCGCACTTTGGAGCTTCGGGGCTGGTCTACAGGGAAGGCTTCCAGCCCCTTCCATCCAAAATGCGCCCACAGCGTGGGGGGTCTGTAAGCAACCACTGTAGCTGCCCCCAGTTCTCACACAATTCCTTTCTTTTGCAGAGAGTTAAGAAAGACGTGGACAAGGGCACGCGGCACTCTGACATGTTCCTGCTGAAGCCGGAGGACGGGAGAGAAGGTAGAGGCGCTGTGCTTCCCGGGCAGGAGCTGGCTGGTCTGCCTGTGGCGGGAGGCGGAGCCCACACCCTCCCATGGATGTGGGGCTGCCGGTGAGCCCCTGCACCCTGCCCAGAGCGGAGGGCCTGCTGGAGATGGCCCATTTTGGGGTGGGCTGGGCGGGACAGGCTCCATAGCCCTGGTGTCTGCAGACAAAGGAGCGCCTGCTGGGCGATCACCTCTGGGGACATTGATGACGGACTGACTCAGACACACGGCTGCTATTACCCTGCGGATACCCCACAATGGAGCAGTGAGCACAGTGCCGCTCAGCAGCTCCTGATGGGCGCCTGCAAGGGTCTCGAGCTCTCGAAGGGAGAACCATCCCGGGCCTGAAGTACAAGCCACCTGGAGTCACTGGGGCCGCCTGGCATTGTGCTGATAGGGCTCATTCTTGGAGTAGTTGCAGGCAGCAGCTGGGCAGGCTGGGTGTGGGGCTGCCAAGCCAGGGGCCAGTGTTGCTTGTCCACAGAACTTCAAAAATCATCACCGAGACTGCTGTTGGCCCTCACTGGGACAGCCTCCAGGAATGGCCGTGGCCTCTGTCAGCTTGAGTCACTGAACTCGGAGGGCTGTCAGAATGCCTAGATTTCTAAAAGCTTTTAGCTAAACTTGGATCTAAGAATCAAAAGTTTCTTATTAAAGCACAGGGGAACAATCATTGTTCTCTGGGACTTTTTAAAAGGATGACATGGGATAACCCAGGGGACACATCCAGAGGGCCCAGGATGTGTCAGCCACTCACCACGCCGTTTTTTTTTGGTTGTTGGTTGGGAGGTGGAGTTGCTTACTTGTTGCGCCAGGTGAGAGGCGGCAGTTGGTGCGTTGAGCTCACTGCAAGCTCCGTCTCCCGGGTTCACACCATTCTCTGCTCGCCTCCCGAGTAGCTGGGCTCGGACCGCGCCCAACGCCCGGCTAAGTTTTTATGTGTTTTTAGTAGAGCGTTGTCACGGGTGGTTCGACACTCTCCTGACTCAGTGATCCACCACCTCGCCCTCCCAAGTGCTGGGATTACAGGCGTGAGCCACCGCGCACGGCTGGCTCTCACCACTCCTATGGATGGTTTCATGTTCTGGGCCGATGCGGTCGGTGTGTTTGAGTTGTGTGTTGTGGTTGTGTGTTCTTTCACAGACTCTCGAAATGTCGAACCCGGCCTGTTGGATGCAGTGGCGGGTTGTGGGACTGTTGTTTGCTCGACTCTGATGTGGGAGAACTCCTGCTGGTGGAGGAGCTGTGGACGTCTGTTCTCGCAGACCTCTGAAGCGGGAGAAGCCGTGCCTGTGGGGAGCATCGGGGGGGATGGGAGTGGGCTGCTACTTTTCAATCATTAATTTCTTGACTTTGAAAAAAATTGCATTTGTTGTTGGCTGGGTCCAGTGGCTCATGCCTGTAATCCCAGCACTTTGGGAGGCTGAGGTGGGAGAATTGCTTGAGGCCAAGAGTTTGAAACCAGCCTGGGCAACATAGTGAGACACCATCTCTTAAAAAAATAAAATGTAGCCAGGTGTGCTGGCGCGCGCCTGTAGTTCCAGCTACTTGGGAGGCTGAGATGGGAGGATTGTTTGAGCCCAGGAGGTGGAGGCTGCGTGCGGTGAGCTGAGATTGTGCCACTGCACTCCAGCCTGGGCAACAGAGTGATATCCTGTCTCAAAAAATAAATAAAAGGAGACTATGGCATTTGTTCTGCTCCAGAGCAAGGGAGTGACGCCAGGAGGCACTGGTCGAGGGTGTTTGTCTTGGAGCTTAGCATCCCCAGTGCCGTTAGGAAACCAGGGGACAGCTCTCATGGGAGGCTGTGGCTTGGGACCGGAGGGCTGGGCTAGACCCAGGAGACCCATAGGCCAAGTCTGCTTTTGTGACCCACAGCAAGTTCTCCAACCTCCCCAGGAGAGGGGACCATTGTGCAAAGTGTTTTTACCTCCTTGCACTAAAATTCCTCAGGCTGAGGCCTCAGAAATACCTGAAGGGTTAATCTGAGTTCACACCCCCTTGCCTGTCAAAAGGCCGAGGTGCCTCTGCCATGGCCCTGCCTTACCGCACCCCTGGCTGATGAGGGCAGACTCGTTCTTCCAGTCAGTTTCCCAGCTCACACCCCAGTGAACTTGAACCTGGATGCTGGACTGTTTCCCGCAGGGCGGCCTTGAGCCTGTGTCCTCCGCTCCTCAGCCCCCAAGAGGAAAGCATCGTGGTGAGGAGCGGCACACCTTGTGTGCATGGGTTTCTGTCACTGGAGAGGGTCCTGCCCTGACTGTGTGGCGAGTTCTTAATGTTGGTCTTACCTGTTTTTTTTTCTTTTTTTTCTTTTTTTTTTTGAGACGGAATCTTGCTCTGTCGCCCAGGCTGGAGTGCAGTGGCCAGATCTCAGCTCACTGCAAGCTCCGCCTCCCGGGTTCACACCCTTCTCCTGCCTCAGCCTCCCGAGTAGCTGGGACTAAAGGGATGTGCCACCACACCCAGCTAATTTTCTATTTCCAGTAGAGATGAGGTTTCACCGTGTTAGCCAGGATGGCCTCGATCTCCTGACCTCGTGATCCACCCGTCTCGGCCTCCCAAAGTGCTGGGATTACAGGCTTGAGCCACCACGCCCGGCCGGTCTTACCTGTTTCTTAACACAGTCGTGTGCTAGTGGGAATGAGGCAGGTGGCCCCGGAGCCACACCCGCAGTGGGCATGGGTGGGTGGTATCTAGCACCACACAGAATATGGCCATTTGCTGCTTCTGGTTTTTTGTTTTTGTTTTTTTGTTCATTAGAGGAAAAAAATCTCCATTCTTTCTCCTAGAAGTGGTGGGAAGACACCACCTGCACACCGGGCTCCGTTGGAGGGTTGGCATGTCACATAGGTGTGGGCCAAGAAAGAACACAGGGCAGACCCCTCCTAAAGTAGAGCTGGCCACACTGCAGGCCCAAGGGGGACTGGTACAGGCCAGCAGGTCCCCGTGCAGGGCGGAGGGTCCCCGTGCAGGCCAGCAGGTCCTGTGCGGGGTGGAGGGTCCCCGTGCAGGCCAGCAGGTCCCCGAGCAGGGCGGAGGGTCCCCGTGCAGGCCAGCAGGTCCCCGTGCAGGGCGGGGGGTCCCCGTGCAGGCCAGCAGGTCCCCGTGCGGGGCGGAGGGTTGCCGTGCGGGGCGGAGGGTCACCGTGTGGGTGGCCTCCTCACGGAAGCCCCTCTGTGTGTCTAGCGTGTATGCTGCTTCTGCGCAATCCCTGCCTTTCCGCTGTGGCTTGAAGCTGCCCATGGTCAGAGGTGCTTGGGGTGTGTGGAAAGCTGTTGAATGCCAGCTCTCTTAAGGAGAAGGGTAGAACTCAAGGGGCGTCGAATGGTGTCTGTTCTTCTGCAGCGGGAGCAGGGTTTTTGCTTGCAGTCTCACGGCTTTCATTTACCCCGTTCTGGGGGGCCCCTGGGGTCCTGGGTGTGTCCTGGACTGGCTCTCAGGGTCCTTCCTTCTGTTCTTATCCCATTTCCTTGCTCTCTCTTGACAGACAAGTGGGTGTGGACTCGGATGAACCCTTCGGGGGTCAAGCCCACCCCACGGTCTGGCTTTTCTGTGGCCATGGCCCCGAATCACCAGACGTTGTTCTTCGGGGGTGTCTGTGACGAGGAAGAGGAGGAGAGCCTGGCGGGCGAGTTCTTCAACGATCTGTACTTCTACGATGCCACCAGGAACCGCTGGTTTGAGGGACAGCTGAAGGTAGGGCAACCTCTGAGTGGTATGCGCCGTGGTGCGCGGCCCTAACTCGGTCCCTGCCTCCCTCCAGCAGCTTTGGGTGTCGGGGCCCCCAGAGCCCGTGAGCTCTCAAGAGGGGCCGGGGTTCCGTCTCTGCCTGTGTCCTGGGTGACTAGGCTTGGACAGCCCTTGGTCATGGTCCCCTCAGCCCGTCCTGGATGCTGGCGGTGCTGCTGCCTCAGGAGCCACTCTCCCCGGACTGAGGAGCCCGGGACCTCCCTGGCCCCCTGTGTGAGAAGGGTTTGCTGGAGGTCCTGGTGCAGACCAGCCTGTGTTGTTATGACATTTGAGCTCCCCTGGTTTCTGGCACCATCTTTACTGTCCGCATGGGCACAGCTGCTGTCCAGGGCCAGCCCAGCACAGGCACAGCAGTGGGTGACAGTCCCAGAAGGGGATCCCCCAGTTGGCCTCAGGGTCTCCGAGTGTACCAGGTCAACTGGACCCAGAAAGAGCCAAGGAGGGCTGGTCCCTGTTGGTTGCAAAGAGCTGCTCTTGACGCGTGGTGGCACCTGGGCTGGACACTGGGAAAACACAAGGGTTCGTTTCTGGATCCACAGTTCACCTCGCTCTTTGACTTTAGGAGGAATTACTCCAAGCAGAGTCTGCACAGGTTTCTCCTGTGGCTTTTCTTCAGAGAACGTTTTGACCCCAGCTAGTGTCACAGTTCTCAAACTGTGTCATCACAGGGCCCTTGACATTTCCCGGGATCACGGAGGACCTCAGGGAGCTTTCCCTTTCGAAACTCATTGTTGCAGAGTACAGATACAGAGTGGGTCTTAGAAGTCTAGAATGTGAAGCTGACTTTGAGTTGATCTGGAGGTAGTGATCCTTGGAAAATTTGGAAATAACCTGGCAAATGTTACCTCATGAGTTGGCAGCATTTTGTGACAAAATGGCAAAGGCTGTGACAGAAGGGTCCAAACTGACCCGCTGCCACACAGCCAGGGAAATGGGACAGAGAGGGATGGACGGCTGTCCTGCAGGAGGCACCCTGACCTGAGAGCTCCCCTTTAGAAACGTTTGGTGAGGGAGGGCCCCTCTCCGACTCGCCGTTTGTAGTAAATGAGCTGGGGTTGCGGGCCTGGCCGTTGGTCTTCCTTGGGAAAGGGGAGGAAGCCCCTCAGCCTGGCTTCCCCAGCCCTTCCGGGAGCTAGCACTGTCGGTGGATTGGGTTTTCCCAAGGTGAGCGTCGGAGCCCGAGGGTCTGGTGCACTGGGTCTGGGGTCTGGTGGCCTGTCCACCTCTCAGTGGAGGTGTGGAGCCGCCCCTCAGTGAGGACACGCGATGGGGGGTTTTCTCCCCCAGCCCAGGAGTGAACGGCGAGGCCAGTGCAACACAGGAGCGTGCTTCTGCTGCCGAGTGCCTGCACCCAGGGCAGTCAGGGACGGCGCCCTCCTGGGTCACACACTCCCCACGCTTGTGGGTGGTCCCCGCAAACCCTTGCGTGGCCTCGTGGGCATAGCAGGACCGACCGCTGCCTCGCTGAAGCTGCTGCTCTCTGCTCCCTCGGTCTATTAATAGGGGCCCAAGTCTGAGAAGAAGCGCAGGCGGGGCAGAAGAGAGGAGCCCGAAGGTGGCAGCAAACTGGCGTGTGGGGGAGCTGGCACGCAGGCGCCTGTGGAGGTGGTCAAGGAGTTGGTGACCGAGGATGGGACCGTGGTCACCATTAAGCAGGTGCTCTCCGCCCCAGGCTCGGCAGGGCAGCCCCAGTCTGAGGACGAAGACAGCCTCGAGGAGGCCGGCAGCCCCACACCCGGGCCGTGTCCTCGCTCCAACGCCATGCTGGCCGTGAAGCACGGGGTGCTCTACGTCTACGGGGGCATGTTTGAGGCTGGCGACCGCCAGGTCACCCTCAGCGACCTGCACTGCCTGGACCTGCACAGGATGGAGGCGTGGAAGACCTTGGTGGAGATGGACCCAGGTGAGCCAGGCGACTTGGTGCCTCCGTGCCTGGGGGCGGGAGCCCACGGTCGTGTGTCGCGTCACTCGAAAGCAAGCCCTGCAAGCCGCCCAGAGGCGGCCTGTGCCGATGCTCCTCGCAGGGGCGTGTGCTCCTGCCTCCACGGTCAGACCTGTTGTGGAAAGGAGGGCCCATCCTGGGCACGTCCGTCCTTTGTCCCAGGTGCTGACAGGAGCTGCAGTTCTGGCGGCACAGGACACGGGCGCGTCTGCTGCTCTGTCCACAGCATGCTTGTTTGTGGGCGGCCGTCCGTGCCGGGCCCCAAGGCCCTGGGTCTGAGCCTCCAGCGTTGCTGTCTGACCCAGGGCCCCTCTGCTGCCGTAGTCACACGTCCCCTTTACCCTGATTGCTGCTGGACTTGAGTCACCGTGCAGTTTCTAAAGATCTGAGATGAAAGCAAAATCCACAAATCTAGGGAAAGGTAGTGAACCGTTGGCGCAGGATGTTTGCTGTTTTCTGAGAGCACCGTGAGCCAGCGTGGAGGGTGGCAGGAGGCCCTCCTGGCCAGCCGCTCCCTTATGGGGGTGCTTTTGCATGTTTGCCGTCTCGGGTCTCTGCCTTGACGCCCAGGGGAACACAATCTGTTTTCTTTGTGGATCTGAAGGGTGCCGGGGAAGAGGAGTTAGGTTTCTTTTTCTTTCTTTCTTTCTTTTTTTTTTTTTTTGAGGCAGAGTCTCACTCTGTCGCCCAGGCTGGAGTGCAGTGTGCGATCTTGGCTCACTGCAGCCTCTGCCTCCCGTGTTCAAAGGATTCTTCTGCCTCAGCCTCCTGAGTAGCTGGGATTACAGGTGCCCACCACTACACCCAGCAGAGACAGGTTTTCACCATGTTGGCCAGGCTGGTCTTGAACTCATGACCTCAGGTGATCCACCCACCTGCACCTCCCAAAGTGCTGGGATTACAGGTGTGAGCCACCGCGCCCGGCCAGGAGTTAGGTTTCACATCATGGTTCTTAAGTAAGAAGATGGAATCCCCCCAGTAAGTAGCCACCACTGTCCCGCAGCCTCCCCCGCCTGCCCCAGCTGCGCTGACATCTGTGTGTGTTCATTCTGCTTTTGAAGAAACTCAGGAGTGGCTGGAGGAGACAGACTCGGAAGAGGACAGTGAGGAGGTTGAAGGTGCTGAGGGTGGAGACGAGGATGAGAACGAAGACAGCGGAGAGGAGAGCGGTGCGGAGGACTGAGGTGAGCGGGCTGGAGCTCACGGGTGGTGTGGCTGCTGGGTGTTGGTGAAAGGCTTTTCATGTTTATTGGATTTTTATTAGAATTCAGCTTTGTTCTGTAGATGCCTTGAGGCAAGTTTAAATTCTTAAAAACGGTATGTGGAGTAATTTCGGCAGCTTGCTGATGAGTGCAGCGTGCCTGTGGGCTCTTTGATGAGGTCTTCCCTGAAAACCCGGTGTTCTCTCTACCCTCCCTGCACAGGCATCCCCCTCGGCTGAATGTGTTTCTCTCTCATTCCTTCCTCCTTGCGTATCAGAAGAGCCCCCTCCAGGGGCGCCTGGCAAATGCTGTGCCCACGTCCGCCCAGGACCCAGCCGTGTTGGGTGAAGCTCTCGGGGCCAGCCTGTGCCCTGACACACAGGAGAGAGCTGAAGGTGGGTGGCCCAGGCCAGGGCGTGAACTTTCTCCCATGATTTAGTCTTTGATGCGGCACTGGGCCAGAAGCTCAACTGAGTGCAGTGCGGGTGGATTCCCTCAGCAGCCTGTGTGTTGTGTAAAATAAATTGGACTTGAAACAAGATCACCGCGAGGTTTTCTTCTGTGCGGCCCTAGGCACACCCAGTCTTCCTGGGGCCTCTGCCCCGGGCCAGGGCTGGCCTAGGGCAAGACTGCCCCACACTGGAGGGTGGAACTTTGGACACAAAGGACCCTCAAGAAGCAGGTTTCTGCGCCCGAAACCCCGGAATATGCTGTGCTTTGTGAGCCTTTCCTTCTACAGAACCAGAAGAGGGCCCTGAGTTCCTATCCATCTTCACACTCGGATCCGCCTCTGACGTCTGGAAACTGAAAAGCAGGCCAGGGCCAGTGCACACCTTCCCTGTTCTCATTCATGTACGGCTCCGCTGGCCGACTCCACACGGGGATCTCCTGGGGGGTCCCTCGTGTGCAGCGGCCTCACTCCTGGGAGCCCCGTGCCCCCGCATGGTCTCTGGTGAGGCCCTGGTGGTCCCTGTCGGGTTTAGGGTTTAGGATTAGCATTTGCAAAGCGACAGGATGGGAGGCCGGAGGGCAAGGGCTCCCAGCGTCCCCATATGGCTGCCACCGGGTATCTCCGACCAGCTCCTCCTGGCTCCCGCGCTGCAGCGCCCTTGCCCCTGAAGGCTGTGGTGCACTAACCCCACCCGAGGCCTGCTCCAGTCCGAGACTGAAGGCCGGTTCAGATTTGCATAATTGGGGTCAAAAGTTGAGCCCTGAAACCACACCCAGTGCAATTTTGTGGGTGTCTTAAATATTTTGAACAGTGGGAATATAGGATCCTTAGCTTTCTGTAATGGGCCGACATAGCTGTGGTCCCTTTTCTTATCTGGGAGTTCAAAACAAGGGTGGTGGGGAGACTCCCCTCCTGGCGGAACCAGTGTTGAGCGGAGAGGACTAGAAGCTGACTTGGCAGCGAGCAGCTGTGAGCGCCTCCCTGCTCCCTTGGCCGACTCGTCCTCATGGCTCCAGGTGGGCCCAGGAGTACCCGGGTCACCATGGGGCAGTGGCTTCAGAAGCGTCATCTCTCAGGATCACCTCAGGGGCACTTGGCCAGCTCTTCCCCAGCAGGGGCACGTGCTGAGCTCCCTGGTGCAGCCAGGTGTTCAGGAGGCCTCGGCGGGTGGGTGGCACTTGAACTGGCCCCGAGGGCCCTGCCCGCTGCCATGGGTGTGACCTCACTTCAGGCTTCTGTGGTCACTTGACCGAAAAGCTGATCAGAAAGGGGAAGGCTCTTAGCACTGCCTGTTCCCTGGTGGGGACACCTGTCTGGTGCGTCCGGATGTGTGGGTGGCACTGCCGACGGGTGAGGCTGCAGGCGTAGCCCCCCTGGAGGGCTGCAGCTCGTGTTTGCGTTGTGCCGGCCCCCCTGCCAACCTCCAAGGGCCGCAGCTCATGTTGGCGGTGTTGGGCTTTGGCGGCCGGTTTGGGCACTTTGTCTCGAGTGCGGGGCAGGCAGGGCTCTTTCCTCACGCTCTCGGCTGAGCTGGTTGGGAGAGGCTCGGGCAGGGCTGAGAAGCCGGAGCGCAGGCAGCAGCGTCCCCGCCCCCACAGGCTCTGCGGCTCTGGCCTTTGTCCAGAAGATGGACCCCGTTGTGTGGCCGGTTCGTTCTTCCCTCCTGCTCTTGGAGGAAGGAATGGAAAGATCTTGTTGGGTTCAATGCAGTTGTCTGTTATCAGAGATTTTCTTTCAAAGGAGCTTGTAACTAATTAAATGGGATTCCCAGGAAAAAGATACTTTTGAATCAACTAAGTTGAAAGAAGGATGACAGCAGCCCTGAGGAGGAAACTTCTTGTGCACTTTCTCATACAGAAAGCGTTTTGCTTTTGTTGCTAAAGATTTGATTTGAATGAAAGATGCTGATCAGAACCAGTGGGGATCAGATAGACAAGCTCCCAGCACGGAGTGGCTGCCACGGCTGTGATGAAGACAGCAGCGCCCCTTCAGTGTGGAATCGCGGGAGACGCAGAACGCAACGCAGGGTGGTGGATTCCTGTGCGGAGCTCCGCCTGCCCCACGGGCCTGGGTTCTGCTTTGTCTGCTAGAGCCCAGTTTATTGAACCACTTGGTGGCCAGGCAGCCGCCACAGGGCGTGAGCAGCCGGCGTGAAAGCCCAGGGCCTCTGTCTCCCGGGCGCGGCTGGCACATGCCATACTCGGTGCCACATTCACCTCCAGTTCCTCGCTGTGCTGAGCTGCTGGCTGTTAGGAAGGCTTTCCCTCGGCTCCGGCCCTCCCACACGGCCCCCGGACCCCAGACTGCAGGGTGGGCGGGCATGTCAGGTGAGGCGCTCTGGCCGGCCCACTTGGCAGCAGGGCCACAGCTCCTCGCAGGGCTTTGTGGGATTTCGAAGGATGAATCACCTTGTTCCCCATTCTCCCCCTGCTGCCCATGCACGTCATGCTCTGTGTGAGGATGAACTGGAGGGACTGGCCGTGCGCGGTGGCTTTTTTCGTGGTTGGGGCGGGGGGGGTGTTGGGTGGAATGAACATCAAGGGAACTACCCATTGAGCTTAGAAATCCTTGCCAGGCAGTTAGTTTGTGTTTGTTTTTAGACGAGAGTAGTGTTGACTGCAATTTGACATCTGATTTTTTTTTAATTGAGTTGGTATAAGCAGGATGTCATTGGCTAGGTGACAGTTACAGAGTCACTGAGGGACCAAATGCCAAGATGCCTGTTGGTGAGAGAGACCCTCTCCAGAGTTTTCCAGAGGGGCCTCCTTCCACGTGACGTTCAGGACCCTCTCCGGGGCTTTCCAGAGGCGCCTCCTTCCACGTGACGTTCAGGTAACGAGGTGGGACCCCGCGCTGGACGTGGCGCTCGGGTGTTGGCGAGGAGGCGGCGCCGTGTGCTTGATGGCTTCCATCAGAGAAGAGTCTGCTCTCCTCCAGAAGGAGCAGGGGGTGGTGGTTCCCAGCGCAAAAGGAAAAGGGGCCGAGCTCTAGCTGTGATCACGACCTCAGCCTGCCTGCCTTTGTGCGTGGAAGGAACTTGCTAGTGACCGCTGCTCTCCTGGGCAGTTTAAGAGTGTTGTGTGGAGGCCCGTCTCATTTTCATAACCCAGATGGCTCCCAGCGCAGGTTGTGGTCACCTCCATTTCTCTCTCACGAGAGCGCTGCAGCAATGCCATCCGGGGCCTGGCCACGCCTGGTCACTGGGGTCCTGAACAGTGGTGTCCCGAGGCACACAAGCCGTCCCTGCCGGACGCTGACGCACTGTCAGGGCCAAGGGCCACAGTGCAGGTACCACAGCGACCCGCTTCCCTGAGTTCTGCTCATGCCCCTCATTTTCCTTGTCTCAACCTTCAGAGCCCTTCCAAGCCCCCACTGGCTGCAGCCCACCCAGGGACCCAGCTGTAGAGGCTGGACTCGGGCATCTCTGAGGTGTGAGAGGCGCAGGTTTACAAAACTCTGGCTGGGAAGAAAGAGATTGAATAACCACTCCCTGAGAAACAGAAACGGGGACATTTAATTACATGAACGTGCGCATTTAAAAACCGCCTGTGCACTCCTGGAGGGCAGAGCCTGCCTCTCTGGTGATTTTTGTGTCCCCCATTCACTTACAGGCTGTGACAAACCCCGTGCCAACACTGCCTGCACTGCCGGGAGACTCAGGGCTGGGGGAGGCATGCCCTGGCCACCACTGGTGAGCCAGCGAGACTGAGGACCCCGCACGTGCTGACCCAGGGACGCCACGGAACTCACTCGAGACTGAGGACCCCGCACGTGCTGACCCAGGGACGCCACGGAACTCACTCGAGACTGAGGACCCGGCGTGTGCTGACGCAGGGACGCCACGGAACTCACTCGAGATTCCTGCTCACAGCACGTTTCCTGCTCGGAAGCCAGGAGAGCCTCCACGTGCCACCCAGCTCTGTCCACGTGTCCATCACACAGCTCTGCAGCAGAAGGAACTTCAGTAAAGATGCTGGTTTGTAATGAGACGAGACAAGCGTTCCAAAGTGTCACACGACATTGTTTATTTACTAAAAGGAGCAGAATTTCTCTTTAATCTCGACAGTGTTCCTTGCTTTCGTAACAGTAGGATTTAAACTGTTACATTCATTTAGGAAAACTATTTGATTTTCATTTTGTAAGTAACCAAGCTATCTTTCCAGCTTAAAAGCAAAGAAAAAAGGCTCAGGGTAACTTTTTAAAGCACTTCGTCAGTAAGAGAAGTTCTGTTTTTGTCACTGCACGGAATGATTGTACACAGTGTTAGCAGACAGTTCACACGCGCCGGTCCGACTTGGAAGGAAACGCAGGTTAACACCGTTTTCTGTCCGAGTTCACAGAGGCGTTTGCAGCAGGCTCAGTTGCTTTCGCAGCTGGAACGAGGGGGCCTCTCCCGCGTGGCTCCCCTGAGCCGAGAGGCCCCTGAGGGTTTTTTCTCCACTGGGCTCTGGGGACGGGGTTTCTGTGGAAATGGCAGATGGTGCACATGAGCAGAGTCCTGCTAGAGAGGTCAGCTCAGCGTCCAGGAGGGGCTGCCAGCGGCAGAGTGCCTGCGCCCGAGGCGGCCACGGACGTGCCTGGGAAGGTGCTGCCCGAGAAGTCTGCTCTGATGTGGCCGCACTTGGGCATGCGGGCTCCCCAGAGGCCCATGCGAGAAAGCTGGGGGTTCCCAGGCTGTGAGTGCAGGACGGGCCAGGCACCACCCTGCAGGGCCCACCCTCCTGCCCCCGCACCCTCACACCCATCTTCCTCTCTCAGCCTGACCCCAGGGCCTGGGAGTCCCCGGCAGACAGGCCCTCCTTGCCCAGCAGTGGCCGCCCTTTATGGACTGGGCGCCTGGCAGAGCCGCTGTGGAGGAGGAGTTGGTCGTCATGGTCGGGGGAGGCAGCCCTTGGGCTGGGTGCCGTTGGTGGTCAAGGTTGAACCCATATCCGGTGGCATCTCCTGGTCTGTTCCACACACGATCGTGCGGGAAGCTCTGGGACCCGAAAGCTGTTATGATCTCGAGTCACAAGTTCTCACAGCAGCCTGGGGTCACCAGGGACTAGACCCAGCATTAGGCTTTTTAGGAGCTGCCTGACTGCTGGGCTGAGCTTCATTGCAGGCCCAGGAAGATGACCAAGAAGGGCGGAGCAGAGCCCCGTCAGCCACTCCTTGGGCTGGAAGTGACTTCCTCAGTGTGGATGGCAGCTGTTAACAAGCAGTGGTGGTTTGGCCGGAGGCCTCTGTGGGGCACAGACATGGCGTGAAGGATGGCAGATGGGCGTGCACGCTCGGGAGGACAGGCAGGTGGCATAGGCCTGAGCAGGTGGCGTCGGCGCACGAGAAGGGTGTGTCTGAGACAGGATGTTTATCCCAAAGGCCAGGAGTGGACGAGGCGGACGAGTGGCCGTGAGGTAGGCGCGTGAGGTTGGCGCGTGAGGTTGGCTGGTCTGCTCCGCCACCCCAGAAACCCAGCGGCCTGGGCCTAGCACCCAGACACACATGGAGTGAGCTCATGCCCACGCCGTGACCTGTCCCGGTCACAGGGCCGCTTGCTTCTCCCAGGCTTGGGAACGAGCCGGCACAGGACGCTGTGGCTGCATTCACTGCTCAGGCACTTCTACTGGGGGTTCATGAAGAAACAGAAAGCGTTTATTTGTTCCTGACGGGTGGGCTGAAGTTTGGGAGGAGCATTCAGCTTCTTTGCAGAGCTCCGCCTCGCCTGTCCTGAGCGCCCTGCAACCCTGCTGCTAGCCTGGGGTGCTGAGGGCCTCGGCTCTGGGGGCGCTGACCGCCCCTCTGCAGCCGGCGTCAGGTGCTGGTCCCCGCCTCTTCTCATCGGGAGGCGCTGGCCTGCAGGGCCTTCGTGGTTTGCCGGAGACCCTTGTTCCGTCCCTTCCCAGCACCCACCCCCAGCCGGCTGTGCGTTCCGTAGTTCAATTTTCCAGGCAGGGGACGTGTGGTGAAAATACAGCCTGGCTTTGTTTCTTTTCAGCGATGGCAGCCACACTTTTCCTCGCTTGTTTTGAAGGCCAAGCCGGCGGCCTCCTCGGCAGCTGGGGACAGTTGCTTCCTTAGCTTCTGTGTGCCGACTGCCTCACCTGACACACAGCCTGGGCGTGAGAGAAGCCAACCAGGTGCCTGAGCTGACTGACTCCCTCCTCCCTCCAACCTCCAGTCTCCTCTCTTCCTCCATCCTCCTCCCTCCAGTCTCCTCCATCCGCCCTCCTCCCTCTGCCTTATCTGGAATCGGGGTCCTGGTCCTGGGCTAGAGGCAGACCCTGGCCCGGGAGAGGTTCTCAAGGCACTGCGGGAGGGCAGCGTCATGATGTCCTGAAGCTTGCCGCGCCCGGTGCTGTCAGCCGGCTGAAGGGAGAAACTGTCACAGCACCCGCAGCTATGGAAGGTGACGTCCGAAAATCTGTTAGGCACCTTGATGTCAGGTTTCCAAGACCAAAGGCAAGAATAGTCGGACCAAACTTAGGAAGAGTCAGAGAAACTGAGCGTGACCTAGAAGAGGCAGATGGCCCTTCCCCTCCTCTCCTGCTGAGTGTTCTGTCGCACACACGACGTGAAATCCACACTGCCCTGTGAAGACTGAGGGCAGGTCTTGGATGTGCCGCCCTCACATGGCCCAGGAGCACCAGCAGCTTGGGGGCCACCACAGGCCCCAGAGCCTCTTTACTCTCATGGGTTCCGCGGACGATAAAACTTCCCGGGGAAGGAGTAAAGGACGATCAAAAACCTGAACTGAAAAAGTATGAAAAACATTTCATTTCCCTCGGGTTCTCCCCACTAGGTCTGCAGTGCCTTGGGGGTGACTGATGGCCCTCAGTGAGACCGGGTGGCCGTGTGGTTCTGAAAGTGAAAAGGAGCAAGTGTGGTTAGAGCCAGGGGCGTGGTTAGAGCCAGGGGCGTGGTTAGAGCCAGGGGCGTGGTTAGAGCCTGCAGTGTGGACACCCCGTGGACCGCTGGCCCATGGCCTGGCTTGGGGCCGCGAAGGGGAGCGAGTTGAGTGCATGTGGGGAGGGCCTGTCATTCTACGATGTGTATCTTTCTGTTTTTTGTTTTTGAGACGGACTCGCTGTGTCGCCCAGGTTGGCGTGCAGGGGCACGATCCTGGCTCACTGCAACCTCCGCCTCCCAGGTTCAAGCGATTCTCCTGCCTCAGCCTCCCAAGTAGCTGGGACTACAGGCACTTGCTACCACGCCTGGCAAATTTTTTTGTATTTGTTTTAGTAGAGATGGGGTTTCACCATGTTGGTTAGGCTGGTCTCGATCTCCTGACTTTGTGATCCACCCGCCTCAGCCTCCCAAAGTGCTGGGATTACAGGCGTGAGCCACTGTGCCTGGCCCTGCCCAGCTTTTCTGCATCACCACCGTCGTGTCAGTTAGCTCGGCTCAGGCATTGCACACCTAATCTGTGTCTTTGGGAATCCTGTGAGCTAATGGTTCTAGATCCAAAAGAATGGATAAAGAGAATGTTTCAAGTTCCCGAAATTATCCAGGCACATCCTGTGTGCTACTGAACTTCAGAAAGCACCAGTCCACCCAGTGTGCAGAGTTTGGTAAACGGGCCAGTCGTGGGCACACACAGGCTCCCCATGGTGAACGGGCCAGCTGTGGGCACACACAGGCTCCCCAGAGACCTCGGGGCAGAGGGTCTCTTCCAGGACAGGGCTAATCTGTTCCTGGGCCAGGGGTGGATCTGTTTTGCAGGTTTGCAAGGGTGGGGAGACGCCAGCCTGGCCCATGGGCTGTCCATGCCCACCCCTCACAGACCATGCTGCCATCCGGAGGGGATGCCACTTTCTCCTGGCCTCTGGGATGCACAGGTAAAGCATGGAAGAAGCTGTTGGGGAGGAAAATGGCTCTCACCAGGCTGCTCTCAGGCTAATGAAAACTCATCCAATTCTCCATGCAGCAGCAGCCAGCCTGGCACACGCTGCCCTGCCCTGCCCTGCCCGACTGTGGAGGTGAGCGGGTCCCCCCGGGCCTGGGTGGAAGGACTGCGCGCCTGTCAGGGAAGGCCGAGGCTCCGGACAGGTGGGAAGCAGCCGCCTCCTTAATCACCCCATGTGGAAACCAATTAAAGGTTTGAGTCTCTCAAACCCGGGGCATTTTAGCCTTGGTTGAATCCTCCTGGAATTCCCAGGGAAGTGGCTTTGCCCTCTGCCCTTGCTGCTGGAAGGCAAGGGGCCGGCCTCGGCTTGGTTTTCTAGGTTGTGTTATGGCAGCAGCTGACGGCCCCTAGGCCTGGATCCACACGGCTTCGCTCAGGGACACCTGCCTCCATGCGTGTCTCATGGTGTGAACGTGTCTCCTGCTCACAGGTACCATTCTGTGTCATGCAGTTACTGGAATGTACAAAAGCAGCTGTGATGTTTGCAAAGAGTTGCAGACAATTACAAAACCCATCTCCCAGCATGCGTGATGGTGAGAGCTGCAAAGAGCAGGAGTCTTTATTTGGTTCACTTCCGGTCTGCAGCAACCACTTGATACCAAAAAACGGAAAAGATGTACAAAAAGATGTCACATCCCTTTAGAAAGCGACATCATCAGAAACGTATGTGACCTTCAGTCCTCCCTCCCTCTCCTGTGCCCCCCCCAGACCAGGCTGCGAGAAGGAACGGGGAGTGAACATATAACAACGGAAAACAATAAAACTGAATTTAACTGGAACATGCTCTAATCTTTAGTTTATTTCTGGTTAAAAATATAGCAATCCAGTGCAGTGTAGTAAAGAAGTCTGCTCGAAAGGTAGCAGAGAAACAGCTAAACATAAGCAAAGCAAGGCAGAGTCCATAAGACAGGCTGGCCCCAAGGCGACCGGATGGGGAATCCCTGCAGTGCCTCCCCGGGCACAGGAGTCCTGCATGTGGCCGTGCCCGGACCCCTCAGGCACGTCCATGCACACGAGGGCCAGGGGGCACTCGGACATCCTGGCAAACCTTGTTCTTTTGTTTGGGTGATGGAGTGACCCTGGTGGAGAAGGCAGAAACATAAGGAACCTGTTTTTGTTGGACTGAAACAAGTTACATTGTACATTTTGGGGGGTTGGATATGCTACAATTTCTCAGGAAGTTTCAAGCCACTGGGTTTGAACCGCATTCCTGTCTTGGGACCAGGCCCACTCTGGTGTAGCACTGAGGCATCTGGAAGGAATATGCATATCTGTTAGGGAAAGTTGAGGCAGGCACAGTACAAAGATGTGAAAACCCGTGGAGGTCAGTAACCATGGGAGAAGGCTTCCTTTAGGGCCCTTACTCCTGGGGACACGGAAGCCCATGCGTCCACCCTGCACACCAAGTGCACACACCCAGAGCCCCGGCGCGAGGCCGACTCCACGGCACAGCCCCTCGGCTTCCGTGCTTCGCTGAGCCCAGGCAGACTGGAGTGGGCCCCGGCTTCCCTGGGGTCTGGTGGGGGAAACGGCCGAATGGGGCCCACGGTGAGTGGGCAGCAGAAGAAAAGGGCTTTGCTTTAAAACTCGGTGTGGGGAGTCGGCTTCTCACAGAAGGCCGGGGGCAGTGCCGAGAAGAGGGAAGGACCTGCATCCGTCTCACGGGGAGGAGGTGGCCGACCCCTCCCCTCCCTCAGGTGTGCAGCACAGCTCTCACACAGAAAACGGCCGGGCTACTGCCCGCTGGGGTGGGCCACCCTGCCCCACGCCTCCCGCCCATACTTGCCACCCGTCTGTTCTAGACAGAGGAAGCAGTGAATCCACTTTTCCAAGCTCATGGCGACGGGAGCCAGCCCTGCTGCTCAGGGGGTGTGGGGCTGGTGCTCCGCCCCGGGCTGCCCTCCGTCCACACCCAAGGAGGGACATGTGACCACGAGGACGATGTCCACCGTTACCACTGACGTGCCGGGATCCCTTCTGTTTCCACGTGGAGCTGGAGGGGCTGCGTGCTGGCCTCCTTCTGCCATGCCACACAGCAGAGTGTTATACAAGCAAAGAATTTTGGCTAAAATCCAAAAAACATTACCCAGAAAAAAAGGCAAACTGTGAGTGATACCGAATCACGTGGTTCTTCTGTGAGAGGACTTGGGAGCCGCTGGGCTGTCCGAGTTGCGGTCTTTCCCTTCTTGTGGTTTTGCTTTTAATGTCCCCTTTTCCTACCCTTTCTCTATTTTTGCTACCGCGACAGTCTCATCAGATGAAAAAGTTAATAAACAGAATGGCGACTCCGATGTTGAGCAGGATCACCATGGCCACCAGGATAGGAGCCGAGCCCTGGAAGAGAGCGAGGAGAAAGGTGAGTGACAGCCACGGGGGCTCTGCCTGGGCCACCACGCCTCCCAGCCACGTCTCTTCACCAAACTGGCAGACCCTGGGGGTGGAGTTGTGCAGGAGGATGTTTGAAACGGTTGGACACCAAAGGCCCACTGGAACCTGAGCCCCTCGAAGTCCAGACTGGGGAGGAAGCCACTGGCCTGTAAGTCTGAAGTTGTTGGTCTTGGAATTCCCTTGCAGCCCTGAGACCCTGAATACCAGCTCTCCCGGGGTCCCGTTGGAGAGAACCACCCCGGCCTCTCTGTAAGCAAATGTCTCAGTGCGTGCTGCGTGTGTGCCAGTCAGCAGGTTTCTCCTGCTCTGTGGAACTGGGACCTTGGAGCACTGTGATCAGAACCTCAGAAGCGCCTGCATGGCTGCCATAGCCCATGTCAGATGCAGCCCAGCAGAGGGCCCTGGGACTCAGCAGAGGCCTCCCAAAGTCTGTGAGCACAGCTTCCTCAACAAACTCCTCATGCCAGCTAGCTCTGGAGGGCTGTGTCCAATTGCAGGCTGCCTCGGACTCAGGTCACAGTCCTGAGTGCTGCTGCCACCACCTCCCTGAAGTGGCTCACGAGTCCTCAGCCTCTACCAGAGCCCCAAGTGCCAGGCTCCCCCTTCAGCCGCACAGCCCGGGCACTTGGACCAAGCTGCCACCTTCCCTGTGCTTGTTGGGGCCAGGCAGGACACGTCTCGCACCAGAGCCTCTTCCTGGGGCACCCTTCTGCAGTGATTCTTGCAGTCCTGCACCCCACTGTCTCAGGCTCACACCAGGCAGGGGTGAGAGGCAGTGTGGCCCCTCTGGGAAGCCCCCCGCCCCTGGGAGGGCAGGGGTGGGTGCCGCCCTATACAGACAGTACCTGCTGCACAGGGAACGGGTGCCTCCTGGAAGATGCCCCCAGCCCAGGAATGGCAGGGGATACCCACTCCAGCCCCAGGAATGGCAGGGGGTACCCACTCCAGCCTTGCCCAGGGGCTCCTTCCAGAGGACACTTGCCCCTGACCCCCACCCCTCCCCACACTCCGCATCTCACAGCTGCCTGGAAGGAGATGCAGACCCCACTCGGGAAAGGAGCTGCATGGGGACCTGCCCAAGGCAGGAGGCTGCTCAGAGAGCCCGGTCCATGGAGCCTCCACTCAAAACCTTGCGTGCACACACTCCCCGCAGCAGGAACCAACAGTCACGAAGTGGAAGCAGAGCCAGCTGTCTGGTGGCGGATGAACGCAGCCAGCAAAACGGGCCGTGCAACAGCAGACGCCAGAGGGACGGGTGCAGGAGTGAAACCAGGCGCCAGGACCCGGCCAGAGGCAGAAAGCAGACAAGTCTGGGAGCTGGGGGAGGGGACAGCAAGTGCCTGCTTAATGGCCCTGAGGTTGAAGGTGATGGAGCTGATCTAGAGAGAACTGGAGGTAATGGTTGTACAACTCAGAATACACTCAAATCCCTGACTTGTACACGGTGGCCAGGTGAAGCGAACAGTACAAGCATTCTCTCTCAGTAGAGCTAAAGCTGCACAAAGAGCAGCAGAAATCCCAAATGAAGTCAGCTCTCCAGGGCCACACCGTCAGAGCAGTGCCTGACACATGGGAGCTACGGGCAGACAGTGGCCTGCTCTGCTCTCACTGCGCAGGAGGGATGCAGACGAGGGGCCACTTCTCAGGGCCCCAGTGGGGTCACGGCCTTGCCAGGAGAATTCCCTCCGGGGATGTCAGCCTGTGGTCCCCTTGCCTAGCCTGGATGCCACATCCCGCGGGAGAGAAGCAGCCTCCTGCTGGACTGTCTAGCGGGGCCCTTTTGTCTCCCGCGTCAGTTTCACCCTTTCCCAGGCTGTGCCCCCAGTGAAGCAGCATCGTAGCCAACGTTGAAGGCCCTGATCCCAGCACCTAGGCTGGTCTTCCCCGGGCACCCGCTTGAGCATGTGGCCCAAAACAGCCATTGTCTGGGGCACTCGGAACCCATCATGCCCTCGCCCCTTCCCAGCCTTCCAGCCCCGTGGCAGAGGCCCTGCCTTGAGCAAGCTGCGGCCCCTCCTCCTCCTGGTCCAGTCCTGCCCACATCTGGGTGCCCACCTCCCCTCCCTGTGATCTCCAGGAGCTGCCCCCACGTGCCCTGGGCAGCACTGCTCATCGTGGCCCCATCTGTGGCCTGGGCAGGCTCTAGCCACTCCTGCGTCAGCACAGTTTCCTCGGGAGGCCCCTGCCAACAGCCACTCGGCACGGCAGCGGCAACAGGTGGGAGTACTCGCCTCTGCCTGGCCCCAGCTGGTGGTTTTCCATTTGGATTCGGGGACAAGCAGCCAATGAGCCTATCTCATTCCCGTTAAACGTGAAAGAAACACGTCCAGATGCCATCCTCAGGTCTCTCACAGCCCCACAGGGCTCTGCACCACACCTGGCAGGGGCACCTCCTGCTGTGTCCTGGGTATCAGCTCCCAGGCCTAAGCACCTCTCCTCACACTGGGGACTGGAGCCCTCATGCCCTGGAGACACTGGCTTGAGAAACTTTAAGATGGAATCTTTTTTTTTTTTTTTTTTTTGAGACGGAGTCTTGCTCTGTGCCCCAGGCTGGAGTGCAGTGGCGCTATCTCGGCTCACTGCAAGCTCCGCCTCCCGGGTTCACGCCATTCTCCTGCCTCAGCCTCCTGAGTAGCTACAGGCACCCGCCACCACGCCCGGCTAATTTTCTTGTATTTTTAGTAAAAATGGGGTTTCATTGTGTTAGCCAGGATGGTCTCGGTCTCCTGACCTCGTGATCCACCCACCTCGGCCTCCCAAAGTGCTGGGATTACAGGCTTGAGCCACTGCACCGGGCCTAAGATAGAATCTTGCTCTCGCCCAGGCTGGAGTGCAGTGGCATCATCTCAGCTCACCACGGCCTCCACTTCCTGCCAGGTTCAGGAGATTCTTGTGCCTCAGCATCCCAAGTAGCTGGGATTACAGGTGCATGCCACCATGCCGGGCTAATTTTTGTATTTTTAAGTGGAGACGGGGTTTCACCATGTTGGCCAGGCTGGTCTCGAACTCACAACCTCAGGTGATCCATCTGCCTCAGCCTCCCACAGTGCTGGGATTATAGGTGAGCCACCCTGTCTGGCCAAGAAACTTTTTGGAAAAAAGTTTGCTCAACAGACAAGCTGAACCCCAGTCAGCAATGGGCTTTGTAAACTGTACCCCTGGGGATGCAGCTCAGAGAGGAGGGTCCTCAGAGGGTGACGTCCTGCCCAGGGAGGCACCTGCAGCCGCAGCAGCACCAAGCCAACCCCCTCCACAACCTCCCAGCCCATCAGGGACCTGAGGCACAGATGGAAGTGGAGGTGTGGACACAACGAGGGCCTCCACTCAACCAAAGAGAAAGCTGGCCCGAGCCCTCTGCACCAGGGGCAGCGGCCTGAGCCCCGCTTTACGT